CACTGTCTCCATCCTAACAACATTAGGAAATTGGCATAATTATTCCCACTTTACATCAGAGGAACCAGAGCCTCCTGAGGTCTAGCATCTTGGCTAAGATCAGACAGAGCTTGGGGAAGCTGGAATTCGAATTCAGGTCTTACTCCAAAGCTTACTTTTTCTAATACTCCATAGTATATACCCATAGTACTATATACCCATAGTACTATCAATGGTTCCTTTTCTAAAAAGTAACATCCACCTGCAGTGTGATTTTTACTTTAGATTTCCAAATGTTGGGGTTTGAAAGGAACGGCAAAATACAAGAAAAGAAACAAACAAAAACCCGTAAAACCTCTCCCATTTAGGAGTTGATAGTTGAAGTGAACTTTACCAAGCAATGCAAAGTAACGAGCAAGATTTGAGTACAAAAAATAGTATATCCTGAACTTTTTAAAACAATGTTTATTTTTGAGAGACAGAGAGAGAGACAGAGCATGAGTGGGACAGGGGCAGAGAAAGAGGGAGACACAGAAGCTAAAGCAGGCTCCAGGGTCTGAGCTGTCAGCACAGAGCCCGAGGTGGGGCTCAAACCCACGAACCATGAGATCATGACCTGTAAGCCACCCAGGTGTCCCACAAAAACAGTATATCCTAAAGTAAGGTTTGAGTATCTGGGGCTTACTAAAGAAACTGATATAATTTCCAAAGCTCCCTGGCCTGCCAAAAGTTAGAAAAGTTTAATCCTAACTTTTTTAATCCAGTTTAATCCACTTTGTTTCTTGGATGTAATTCTTTTTTTTTTTTCTTAATGCTTATTTATTTTTGAGGGCGAGAGAGAGACAGAGCATGAGTGGAGGACGGGCAGAAAGAGAGGGAGACAAAGAATCTGAAGCAGGCTCTAGGCCCTGAGCTGTCAGCACAGAGCCCGATGCAGGGCTTAAACTCATGGACCATGAGATCATCACCTGAGCTCAAGTTGGATGCTCAACTGACTGAACTGCCTAGATATAATTCTAATTACAGACAGAAGTTCCTTGCAGTCCTATATAAAATTCTCTAGGAGATAAAAACAATAAGATTTAAAGATCCAAACAATCAACAATTGCACTGATTCTCTGAACAAACAAAACAGAAAGGAGAAAAATATTCTGGCTGAGTAAACTTGAGCAAAATAACAGAACTTCAAAAACCATTTTTGGGGACACCTAGGTGGCTCAGTTGGTTGAGCGTCCGACTCTTGATTTCTGCTCAGGTCATGATCCCAGGGTCACGGGATCGAGCCCCACGATGGACTCTGTGCTGAGCATGGAGTCTGATTAAAATTCTCTCTCTCTCTCTCTCTCTCTCTCTCTCTCTCCCCCCTCCCCCCCAGCTGCCCCTCTCCCTCGCTCACACACTCTCTCTCTCTGTAAAAAATATAAATAGATTTTTTGCTATCCCATTTCAAACATTCTTTCAGTAAAACAAAATTAAATGATTATTAAAATTACCTTGATTCTAAAATTCAACTTTTCTTTTTTAGTTAACAGAACTACATACATATTTCGATCTAGGAAAAAATATATTATGTTAAACCACAAAAATGCTACAAATCAATAGAACTTCAATGTCTTATCATCTTATATAAAGTGTTATAAATAAAACGTAATTACCCATCACAGGTAATTTTTGTTACTGATGTTCTCAGTACTTTTATCAAGATTAATCCCTAAATGTTGAAGAGCTGGACATGACATAAACCCAGAAACTTAATCTTCCTTTATAATTTTTTTAAAAACTCAATTTTTTAATGTTTATTTTTGAGAGAGAGAGTGAGAGAGGGAGCAAGCACATGCACAGGCAGGGGAGGGGCAGAGAGAGGGGGAGACACAGAAACTGAAGCTGGCTCCAGGCTCCGAGCCATCAGACGCTTAACCAATTGAGCACCCAGGCTCCCCTTAAAAAACTCAAGATTAAACATGAACTCTTTAAAATATATGTATGTTTCTACAAAGAAGACTTTTGTAGTTGTTGTCTTTTAAAGACAGTGATTACTCTGGCTCTCAAAAAAATGTTTGTTGAGCCAGATATAATAGAAGCATACCGCTCACCTGTAAGAATGAGGGGGAAATACCTAAAAACAGTGTAGGTACTTTTGGGTATAGAATAGATTTTTAGGAAACAGCAAGTACTGTTTTAGCTGAAACATAAATATCTTTAGTTAATTCAAATAATCTGAATTCAATAAATATTGAGTTCCTACCATATGCTGGCCACTCGGCATGACCTTGAGTTTAATAGATCAGAAAATGGTTCCCTTCCTCTCAAAGCTTACAGAGTAATGGATATAGCCTCCAGAACCACCCTTTCTTTTGCGTGAGTCCATGTTCATCAAGGAATTTTTGAAATATAAATTCACCCTCCCCAAAAGTTTAAGAGATCAGCTTGTTGGTTAAAGTATCAACACAGGCCCTGAATTAATAATTCATGGAGGTGGAGGTGAGGGGAGACAAAGAATTAATATTTCGTTAGGGGTATCTCATTGGCTCATTTGGAAGAGCGTGAGACCCCTGATCTTGGGGTCCTAAATTCAAGCCCCGTATTAGGTGCAGAGATTACTTAAATAAACTTTAAAAAAAAATTTTAATAATTCATTAGTTGTTAGCTTGAGTGAATCCCCAAAGGCTGATCACAATTCCAATTAATTGGTTAGATATAATTTCTCAACCATCAGAGCAGAAAATCAAATACAGAGACAGGAATCATGTCCATATAAAGATACTGACATATGAGTTGCTAGTTTACCCTCAGGCAATGTACCTTTATTTCATCATGTCCTCCAAACTGCTGTTATAGCTAACTCCTAAAACTGCTAAGAATAAAAAATACTACCTAACACTGCCTCTCAACCTTTAATATGCCTATGGGTCACCTACAGATCTGTGAAAACACAGACTGATTGAACAGGTCAGGGGCAGAGACTGAGATTTTTCCATTTCCGATAAACCCCCAGGATGTTCTCAGGCCAGGAGGGGAAGTAACTCACCTGGAAACATCTAGCACACGGGTCGCTCGGCCCAGCTACCTGTTCTCTCCCCTCTATGTCTGTCTTCTCTCCTTCCTCATCTCCCTGTTCTCAGGAGAAAAGATGGTTGTTCTCATCTTTCCACCTTCCAAGATTCTAACCGAATCAGAACACCTTCCACAGGCATTAAATACACGCGGGCTGAATGAATGACATCCAACTCTGTCATTACTTCCTCTGTAGCTATGAACAGAATTGTTTCTTCTTGAATTTATTCTAAATAGAAAAGTATTTCTGAAAACTGAAATATCAGAAAAGCTTATGAAAAATTATACTTGTCGGGGCACCTGAGTTGCTCAGTCGGTTAAGCGTCTGACTTCTGCTCAGGTCATGATCTCATGGTCTGTGGGTTTGAGCCCCGCGTCGGCACCAGAGCCTGGAGCCTGCTTCAGATCCTGTGTCTCCCTCTCTCTCTGTCCCACACCCGCTCGCTCGCTCTCAAAATAAAATAAAGACATAAAAAAATACATTAAGAAAAAGAAAGAAAAACTGTATTTGCAACACGATCCACTGCATTTTCTCATGCTGACCTGATCAATCTTAAATAAACACATATCCATAGTTAACGTGTTAATTTATCCCCTGATGATTTTTCCATTTTTTGGTAAATGACTTAATAAATAAAAACAACTAAGTCATTTGGTTTCCTGGGCAAGTCTGAGTCTTACAGGGGTCCCTGGCTGGCTCAGTCAGGAGGCTTAAGTGACCCTGGATCCTGGGGTCCTGAGTTCCCAGCCACACACAGGGTGTAGAGATTACTGAGTTAGATAAATAAATTAACAAACTTTAAAAAAAAATAAAACGCCTTAAAATTAGTCTTAAAAAAGTAATCACTGCCTTCGGATGGATCTTTCATGTCTGAAGGAGCACAATGAGACTAGAAGGCCATCTTAGGAAAGGTAACGTCTAGAACATCGTTCCTCAGGCCAGCAGCGCTATGAACCAAATCCTAGCACTGTCATCAGCAGGCAGATCTCTGGCACCGTTTCCCGCGTTTCTCCGCTGATTTCTGTGATCGCCCGAACGAGACGGGCTGCTTCACTTGTAAATGCTAAGCTGCGTGCACTTTGCCGCCGGCGGAGGCAGGCGACACGTGACGGGGTGTTCCACGCGCGCCAGGGGCGGGACAGGGATGGGACACTGGTTTCTGAGAGGTTCGCCGGTACGGCTGTCCGGCTCTTCGCCCGCGCTGGCCCGGGCCCGCCAGCGGGCGCACAGCGGCGGTGTGGGGGCCCGACGCCCCGGCGGCGCTGAGACTACGCCAAGGGCTCGCAGCTCCGCGCGGACGGTCGGGGCTCTATCACCGCCGCCGTGCGGCCAGGCTCGTCCGCCTCCCCTCCTCCCCGCTCCCGGCCCCCCCTGCGCCGCGGGGCGCGTGTGCCCGAACAGGCCCCCGACGGGCGGGGCGGGGCGGGGCGGGGCGGGGCGGGCGTTCGGGGGGCTGGCGGCGCGGAGGGGCCGTCCCCCCGCGTCCCCACTGATGCGGCAAGATGGAGGCGGCGGGCGCGCTCCCGCCGGGCGGGGCTTCGGCGCGGCCCGAAAAGGCCGCGGGATCCGGGCGGCCGGAGCCCGTCCTCGGCCAGGCCGCCCCCGATGCCCGCAGCCCGGCAGTGGCCGGCGTGGCGCCTGCGGCAGCGAGGCCGGGCGAGGCTGTGGAGGCGGGGTGCCGGCGGCCGCGAACAAGGACGCCATTATCGCCCTGGCCTGGCGGAGCCGCGGCCTGGAGCTTGGGGGGGTGGGGGGGCGGGAGCCGGGGGGGAGGGGGAGGGGACTGGGCGGGGCCGAGGCGCCGGTGGGGAGGCTGCGGGTGCCTCAGGGCGGCCTCCCCAGCGTGCCGGCCGGCGGCCGCCTCCCCTGTCGGCCCGCGCCCCGCGGGGGGCGGCTCCGGCAGAGGGCGGCCCGGTCCGCCCGGAGCGGCCCAGTGCCGGCCGGGGTCGCGGCGGGCGGCTCTTACCTGGGCCTTCCCTTTCTTTGCCGTCCGCCATCTTCTTGCGGAGCCGTCGCCCGGGAGATGCCTGGCGTCACCCTAGGTCGAGGCGTCCTTGCCCCCTCCGGCCCCCCGCGCGAGTCTAGACCCTGGGGCGGGGGCGGGGGGGAGGCTCGGGGCGCGCGCCCCGCCCTCCCCCGCGCGCCCCTCCCCCGCGCCGGCCCTCCCGGCGGGCCCTGGGGACTCGGGAGGGAGGGAGCCCCGAGCCCTGCGCTCCCTGCTGACCCGGGTGGGCACCTCGCAGGCGCCTCTCCCTCCCTCCCGTGTTTGCGCGACGTGGCGCCGCTCGGCCTCTTCCCTGCGGATGGTCACGCGCGACTGGAGAGCAGGTGGCCGCGCCGTGGCGGCTGCGGAGGGGCCGGGGCGCGGGCGCGAACTCGGCGCTGTCGGGGCTCCAGCTTGCGACCCAGACGGGGAGGGTCCCCCGGCAACCGAGCGGCGCCCGCCTTCCCCCTCGCCGCGCACGGGAAAGTGTCCTCGCTCGTGAAATGTGACGGGGCCCGCGGCTACGGTCGCCACGGAAAGTTCTAAATCCCGCTGCTCTGAAACTTTGAGGCTGTAGCATGTTAAATGTCTCCCTGTCAGGATCAGCTCTTTTTACGAGAACGTTTTCTTTTTAAAATGATTTTTTAATTAGGCGGTTCAAACAAATAGGAAACTTTTAAACTAATCTTGGATTTGCAAGTGCATAAGGGTACTAATTTAAGTGACGTTGTGTAAAAATGTACGAACTGTTCATTGTCCGTGATTTTCCTAACATCGTTTTTATGCTCCCTTTTATTGTGGTCCTATAATCTCTCAGTAAATCGTAAAGCAAACTATTCTTAGAAGTATTAGTTATAGAAGATCTTCCTTTGGTGCTATGACCAACGTTCTCTTTGAAATTGATTAGAAACTATTGAATCCTCACAAAATGGCTTCTGTTAGAAGATAGGTACTTAACATAAAATGGATTCAGTTGTTTACAGTAAATTCTGAACACCCCCAAACATGGGAAAGTAATCATTGGCATTCACATATATTTAAATTTCATGGTCGTTATGGTGTGGTAGTTTGTTTTTAAAGACTCCCCCTTTTCCGTACAGATAAGGAAGGGCTTTGAAATAAAGGTAGGAAAGAAAACCTCAGCTTTGGGCTCAGGCTTACTTCACACTCACTGCCTTTTCACAGGCTGTTTGCAGTTTCCTTTCTCTGGAATGCCTTTCCCTCAAAATTCACCCTCCTACAAAGGCACATTCGCTCCCTCCCAGTTGTCAACGACCTCGGTGAAGGTCACATACTCCTTGAAGCTTCCTCTGTAGTCCAGTAGTCTTAGAGTCTCCTCCATTGATTTGCAATGACTTTGTATATTTACTTGAACTGCAAGGTTTGGAGGACAGGAAACAACTTTATTGGTCCATATATTGGTCCCCAGTGCCTAGAACAATTTTTCAACCTTTGTGTCTGAAATAATATATATGTATTTTTCACAATAATATATATTTTAAAAATTGCAACTGGAATTAGTCCTTTCAATGACTTACTAAGACGCAAAGCTTTTGATTATTTAATCCCAGTGACATTAATCTCTACTTCTCTGATTCCTACAGCATGTTTAAGACAATACTGTTTCTCTAAATTTGGATGAGTAAAGAAGTAATATATATTAATTAGCCCCTCTCTTCCAATTAATTAGTTCTGAGCCTGACCATACACATCTTTTATATACCCACAGTACCTCTACCTCGCCTAATTTGGGACGCATTTTAGGAGATTAAAACATACTTTTCAATTGGCCAATTAGCTGCTTACACATAAAAGTATCATTCTGGAAAACTCCACAAAGTGGAAAAAGAAAATGGTAATCCAAATGACAAAATAGAGGTCCACAATGCCAATGTGTAATTATCTGCATGATGCTACCTGACTGTCCACTTTTTTTGGTTGTGGAAAAGTGATTTCTGATTTTATTACACTTTTTTAAAAAAATTTTTTTAATGTTTTATTTCTTTCTAGGAGAGAGAGAGACAGCGTGAGCAGGGGAGGGTCAGAGAGAGAGGGAGTGACAGAATCTGAAACAGGCTCCAGGCTCTGAGCTGGCAGTCAGCACAGAGCCTGACGCGGGGCTCAAACCCACGAACCGCGAGACCATGACCTAAGCGAAAGTCGGACGCTTAACCGACTAAGCCACCCAGACGCCCCTCTTATACTTTAAATTATAAAATATTATTAACTTGCTTTGGACAATGGCAAACTACAACTTATTTTCTCCCCCCTTAGAATATATTTTGTTTTTGAACTATGGCTGTAACTTTGTTATAATACTGTATCCCACTAAAGCATTCTTTCATATAAGATTCTCATAGTGATTTTTCATGACTTTTTCTGAAATTTCTAATTGGAAAGTTATTTTTGGTCCCACTCAGATAGTGTACAATCTTAGGGCTGAATCAGACTACCAGACTGTAAAAAACAAGGGCACTGTTTTAGACAATGACACTTGATTAATTATTCAGCGGGGCCAGATGGATATGTACAGGTTATGTCCTTCTGCCTGTTTGAATTTATAGTGAGTTAAATCTGTTTACACGGGCGTCAGTTCCTTGACAGCGAGGGGTGCGGAAGATGTCTGTTCCGTGTCTATGAGGAACACAGAAGATGTTTCTTCTGAATACAACAGACTCTGTTACCCAAGTTGCGGCTGAAATGGAAAGCCCAAGTGGTGTGAGTAAATGCAAAATCAGAGTCAAAAAAATCACACCATGTCTCCTATTCTGGGGATAATCAAAATCTTCTTGGACTAGGAGTCATTAAAAAAGGAAAAACTGGATTTTCCTTGGGCATTGCCATGGACTGACATGATCCTAGGCAAGTCATTTATTTCATCTCTTATGAATATTTTTTAAATTATTTATTTTTGAGGGGGGGGGGGACAGAGATTTAAAGCGAGCTCTGTGCTGACAGCAGAGAGCCTGATGCAGGGCTCGCACTCACAAACCATGAGATCATGACCTGAGCCGAAGTCAGCCGCTTAACCGACTGAGCCACCCAGGTGCCCCATCTCATCTCTTTAAAACTCTGTTAATTCAGAAAAACAGAAATGGCAGTGTCCAAACTCCCTATCTTGGAGTTTCATGAGACCCAACAGATGTAACTGAAAGCTCTTCCAAAGCTTAAGACCTTGCAAGGAAATCCACTTTCTTTGGAGATAAACCCCCACTTCCATGTAGGAAGGAGCACTTGGAGGCCAAACTCCTGACTTCTTTCCCGAGATTCAGCTCCCACTGGGAGAGTTCGTTTATCCAGTGGGAGGGACACAAGAGGTGGTCTGATCCAGGCCTCACACTGTTCACTAGAGTACTGACTCCGCTCCCCGCAAGCACACACGTACGAACGCGTACCGGTCTACGTGATAGGGTTTAGCATCTTCAGTTTGTGGCCCCTTCCTGTCCCCACCCTGCCATGTTTAAATCTTCCCAAGCAGAAGTAGCTTTAAGCATATCTAGATGCCTTGAGCACTAGACCCCAGAAATGATAGGGAGGCAGTTACTTCTCTGGTTCGTCTAATTCCCATTTCCTAAAGAAGGTTACAACCCTTCCCTGGATGATTAACACCAAGAATGTTCTCCCTGGGCCGCCTGGCTGCTGGCTCAGTTGGTAGAGCGTGTAACTCTTGATCTTGGGGTCATAAGTTTGAGCCCCACTTTGGGGTGTAGAGATTACTGGAAGGAAGGGAGGGAGGGAGGAAAGAAAAAAAGGATGGAAGAAAGCCCAGCCTTCAAGATACTATCCCTACCTACCCCTGGGATCCCCAAATGAAAACCTTATCAGAATACAACAGAGTAACGGTTTGGTTTCATTACAGTTCCAGCAATGAAAATAACCTTCTAAAAACTGTGTATACATGATCTCTTATAACACTTATGAGGCTGATCCTGGCATTCCCTCCCTGTTTTAAGATGAAAAAGCCACATCTTCACATTAATGGCTTGCTTCAGGTCTCAGTCGGTAAGAGAGCTGGCTAGGAATCTAGCTGTGATTCCAGAGCCCCTGTGCTCTTCTGCTTCTTAATTAAATACGTATTATTGTTACATCCTGTTTAGTAACCTGAGTATTTGGAGAAGAATGTTAAGGGCAAATATTCTGGGCAGAATTAGTCACCTTCCTCCCCTAGTTGGTTTTTTTTTTTTTTTTTTAAATACTGCTTCAAAACATCAACCAAAGCAACTGGCAGAGACTCACGGGGACTCTAAGGGAACCAGATAATGGCACGCTTGTCTGGACAGACTTAAAAGTCTTAGCTTTCAGAGGGCAGGAGAGGAGGCAAAATTCACTCTTCCCACCCACGACTTCTCTTTCCTCCCCACCTTCCTGTCGATTGAGAGTTCATGCCTCTGGAGAAGGAGGGAGGATTACACTAAATACGTGGCTCCGGACAAGAGTGTTGTCAGTGCCAGAGCCCCTTTGGGCTTTTCAGGGAGACCCAGGCCAGGAAGGCGGGACTACAGCACTTGTGGGCAGCTTGAAAGTAAAGGTTGCATGAAACCACAGCTCTTGAAGCATTTCGAAAAATCACACTCCTGGCCCTATTTTTCTCAAAAGCACATGTTTCTTTCTGTTTCATTTGAAAACACACATTGACACAGCAAGTCACTGTTTAATTCATTTCCTGCCCTAAGTAGCACTTTTCAGGGACACTTGGTGCAAAGTAGCTTTTGGGGAGTCTCTGTTCTTTCTTCAGCAAAAATCAGACCTGAGATGCAAAGGGTGGAAGCTGACCCAGAGATTCAATAAATGTTTTATGATTGCACACATAACCTCTCCACCACCTCCCGCCACCCCAGAAAGTGTGGAAATAGAGAAAAAGTGTAGTAGAATTGTGTTGGTGATTTGACTTGGGAATGATTTTTCTAATTCCAGCTCCAAAATTAAATCTTTGAAAATTAAGTTTCATCTATGTTAACATTTACATAAGGAGATAATGCTGAAAAGAAGAATCAAGCAGATAGGAGATAAATGGACCCACTGCCCTTTAGACATGTTATTTCTTCTCTGAACCTCAGTTTCCCCACCTGAGGTTGCATGGAGGTTAGAT